AAAAAAAAAAAAAAAAAAAAAAAAAAAAAAAAAAAAATTATGTTTCCTCTTTAATAAGAGAATATTTGCATGCAACCATGCACCCCTATCTCTTATCCAATTAATTAATCAATTAAATTAATTAAATTAATTAATTTAATTAAATTAATTAATTAAATTAAATTAATTAAATTAATTTATATTAATAATCTCTCATAAGCACGACCAGAGGAAAAAGAAACATTTGCTCTATGAGGTAATTCAAACAAACGCAATCGTCTTATAACATTTAATAAATGTAATAATTCTTCATGGGGGCCCCCCTGTTGGGGGCCCCCATGTTGTGGGGCCCCCTGTTGGGGGCCCCCTTGTTGTAGGGCCCCCTGTTGGGGGCCCCATGGGGGGCCCCCTATAGGGAAGGGGGCCCCTAGGGGCCCCCTTGAGGGCAATTGCTTCTTTATGTTGGATGTTAATCTGTTGACTGTTGTTATTAATATTACTTTTTCTTCTTGAGAGAAACAATCTGTATAAATAGAAAAAAAAAGAAGAAAAAAGAAGAAAAAAAAGAATAAAAAAAAAAGAATAAAAAGAATAAAAAGAATAAAAAGACGAAAAGGAAGAAAAAGGGAAGAAAGTAATATAAATAAAAGGAGAATAGATGAAGAAATATATATATTAGGGTGTATACATATATACACTAAACCCTAAACCCTAAACCCTAAACCCTAAACCCTTTTTTTTTCTAACCTCTTAAGTTGCATGCACGTCGTAAGACAGAAGAAAACCAAGGCGTACCCGAACTATCCGCACGCAGTGCCTGCAGCAGCAGCAGCAGCAGCAGCAGCAGCAGCAGCAACAACAACAACAACAACAACAACAGCAGTATAAGCAGGGGAACGTCAGCAACTGAGCTGTGGCTGCTGCAGCAAGAGTAGGGAAAGCAGCAGCAGCAGCAGCAGCAGGAGAATCTGCAGCAGCAGCTGCAAGTATTAATTAAACAGAGTCCCTTATATTTATAGACAATTAGGGTTTAGGGTTTAGGGTTTAGGGTTTAGGGTTTAGGGTTTACTGCAGCAGCAATATGTAATATTTCTATTGGCTCTAAGGAAGCAACTTTTGCTGCTGCAGCAAGCAGCAAATGTTTATCTACTGCAGCAGCAAGCTGAAGCAAGCGTTTCTTTTGCTGCTTCCTTTCTTCTTTTCCTCCTCCTCCTGCTGCTCCGTCTGCTGCTGCTCCTGCTGCTGCTGCTGCTGTTGCTGCTGCTGCTGCTGCTGCTGCTGCTGCTTTTTTTATATTATTAAGAGCAGCAAAAGACAATTCAATATAAGAAGAATTAAATGCATGCAAAGAAGAACGAAGAATTATACGTAAACATAATTCGCTTAATCTATAACAAGCAGCAGCAGCAGCAGCAGCAGCAGCAGGACTGCTGCTGCTGCTGTTGCTGCTCGTGGCGGTGCTGGTGGTGGTGGTGGTGGTGCTGCTGCTGCTGCTGCTACTGCTGCTGCTGCTGTTTAAGTTGCTGCATTGGTTATCGTTGTTATTGGAACTGTCCGTGCTGCTGTTGCTGCTCTCGCTGCTGCTGCTGCTGCTGCTGCTGTTTGTCTCTATCCTTGCCTGCTGCTGCTGCTGCTGCAGCAGCAGCAATCGCGAGCAGACATAAGCAGCATCAATGCCTCTTTCGTCCTCCTCATGATTAATAAGGGCCTCCACGCACTGCAGCAGGGTCTCTAGGGGGGCCCCTTGCTGCGGGGGCCCCCCGGGGGGCCCCCATGGGGGCGCCCCTAGACTTAGCAGCAGCTCAACAACAGCAAAGGGCCTCGTTGCTGTTAGATCAAGTAAGGAATCAGCAGCAGCAGCAGGTGCTGCTGCTGATGGTATATTACTGGTTGCTGCTGCTGTGCTTGCTGCAGCTGCAGCTGCTGTACTAGCTGTTCCTTCCGTGCGCAGTGGTGCTGCTTTATCTGCTGCTGCTGCTGCTGCTGCTGCTGCTTTAAGGGCCTCAATACACTGAGGAACTATAGGCAGCAGCGCCTGCTGCAGCAGCAGCAGCAAACTGCTGCGGTCGTCGCTTACATGCACAAGTGGCTGCAGCAGCAGCAGCAGCAGCAGCCTCGTTCTTGTCGATATGTGAGCAACACAGCTCCCCTGTGCCTCGGCTGCTGCTGCTGCTGCTGCTCCATCCGCTGCTGCTGCTGCTGTTTCTGCTGCTGTTGGTGCAGCAGTATCTGCGAGGTACTGCAGCAGCTCAGCAGCAATATCATGTGCAGGTTGCTGCATGCATGCATTATGTTCTGTGAATGCAGCAGCAGCAGCAACAGCAGCAATTAAGGGTTCATTAGGCCCTTTTATTAGGGCCCCCCGGTGTCTGTACAGCTGCTGCAGCAGCCGCCGCCAGGGGCCCCTGCTGCTGTACATCTTTCTTGCATGCAGTTCCCATAGACGATTAGCAACAGCAGCAACTTCTGCTGCTTCCCTTCTAGGTACAACTAGCTGCTGCTGCTGCTGCTGCTGCTGCTGGGCCCAGGTAGTCAAGCAACAGCAGCACCAGCCAGTTGTCATCTTGCTGCTGTGCGGGCCCCACTGGCGACGCAGCAACGGGAGGGGAGAGGGGCCCTCTCCTTGAGGTCCCCCAGGGGCCCCAAAGGCGTTATGACATATGGGTACCCCCATAGGGCTACCCAGAGGGGGCCCCTTAGGGTACAGCTGAGGGGGGCCCCCAATAGTTCTTATAGGGAAGGAAGAAGTTAAGAATGAGGGGGGCCCCATACGAGGGGGGCCCCCATAAAGGAATTGTTTGTATGGAGGAATCATTTAGCATTGTTATGTTTATTTTTTATTTATTTATTTATTCTTGTTTGTTTTATTAGGAGAAAATAAATAAATAAATAAATAAAATAAATAAATAAAATAAATAAAATAAATAAATAAATGAATAAATAAATAAAGCAGACAACCCCCCCCCAGCTAAGCAGCAAAATAACAACAAACACACAAAAACAAATAAAGAAATAAACAAAAGAAAACAGTAAAAAACAAAAAAAGGGGGAAAAGAAGGGAAAAAAAACAAAAGGAGAAGAAAAAAGGAAAAGAAAGGAAGAAAAACAAAGAAATAAAAAGAGGTACTTAATAAGGGGGCCCCCTTGTATAAGGATACAAACAACAGGTATAAATAATAAATAAATAAATATTTATTTTTATTTATTTTATATAAACCCTCTTATTAATTAATTAAATAAGGAAAAAAAAGATTTATAATATAGGGTTTAATTATACATAAATATATAAGTAAAGGGCCCCCACAGCAGCAGCAAAAGGGGGCCCCCGCAGGAGCGAGGGGGCCCCCCTGGGGGGCCCCCTTGCTGCTGCTGCTGATGTGTCATTGTTGCTGCAGTGTGGGGCTGTAGATGTAAGATGAATGGGTTGGTCTGTCTGCCATCTATCCTTTTTTTTCTTTTTTTCTTTCTTATTGTTTATTTAATTACTAATTTAAATATAATTATAATTATATATAAGGGTTTATATTTAGAGGTGGTGTTTGCTAGATAAGGGTAGGAGGACGTACAGCAAGAGAAGAAAAAAAGAAGGAAATAAGACTAAAAGACGGTTATTTGTTGTATTTCGCGGCTATATTTATATCATTAATATTCATTTTTAATTTTAATCTATTTATTTGTATTTTTTTATTCATTTAAAGTTTTTTTCTACCTTAACAGAACATTCCCTTCCTGCTGTACGCGTACCATCGGACTCTATAGATATATTATAGGGTGACGGCGGCTCGCCTCCCCTCTTTAAGACCTTTACTGTATAATATTTCTTTCTTTTTTCTCTTTTATTTATTTTATTTATTATATTTTAATTTTATTTCGTTATATTTACCGCAATGGAGGACGCGGAAGGCTTTACAGCGGTGCGCCGAAAGCGCCGGCCCCTCAAAGCTGCAGGAGCAGCAGCAGAAGGAGCAGCAGCAGCAGAAGCATCTGTAGACAGTGAGCCTATAGAGCAGATAGATGAGAGCACAGAAGCAGCATTGCTGCGTCCTATGGCAGCAGAAGCAGCAGCAGCAGCAGAAGCAGCAGAAGGAGCAGCAGAAGGCGGAGAAGATGAGGCGAGTGAAGGAGCAGAGGATATGGATCAAGAGGCAGACACATCAGCAGCAGCAGCAGGAGGGGCCCCACAGCAGCAGAAGGGTCCTAGGAAAGGGGGCCCCCGTAAGCAATTAATAGATAAAGAAAAAGAGCATAAAGAGGAACCTTTTATAAGAAGACTACCTGTACCCCAACATAGATACACCCCATTAAGGCAGCAATGGATAGAACTTATTAAACCCCTTATTATGCATATGAGGCTACAGGTAAACCCTAAACCCTAACTAAACCCTAATTTATTGCAAGAAAGAGAACAGGGTTCTGCTGCTGCTGCTGCTGCTGCTGCTGCAGAAACAGGGTTCTGCTGCAGCAGCAGCAGCAGAACCCTGTTTCTACTTTTTCTGTTTCTTTTTTTCCGTTTATCAACACAATAAATATTTATATTCTATATACACTACTAATTATTTATATATTATTAATTAATTAATTTGTTTTATTTATTTATTTATTTATTTATTTATATTTCCTTACTCTGCAGGTCCGTATGAACCTGAAACGCCGGTGCGTAGAGCTACGCGCTGCTCCTCCCCCTGCCACCCCAACCCAAACAGGAGGAGCATTAGGTGGAGGAGGTGGAGGAGCAACAGCAGCAGCAACATATATGCAAAAAGGAGAAGATAATATACGTTTATCTAAAGGTTATGATTATATTCGTGCATTTTTGTTAGGATTTGAGCAAAGAGATTGCTTAGCTTTGCTTAGATTAGATGATATGTATCTTGAATCCTTTGAGATACAAGATGTTAAAAGATTAAATGGTGCACATTTATCTAGGTAAATATATATAAATATATATATAAATATATATAAATTAATATAAATATATTTATTTAATTTAATTTAACTAAATTATCTTTTTTTATTTTGTTTTATTAGGGTGCGGGGGCTTCACAACGGGGAATGGTGGTGGTGGTGGGGTTGTTATTCATGTTTTTCTTGTGTTTATTTTTCTTCTGTTTCTTCTTTATAACAACTTTCCCTTTTTTAATGTTTTATTTTATATTTATTTATTTATTTATTTATTTATTTATTTATTTATTTACCCTATTTGTTTTTATGTTCAGGTGTATAGGGCGGTTAACTGGTCGTAATGGTACAACACGATTTGCAATAGAGAATGCAACAAGAACAAGATTAGTAATTGCAGGAAGAAGAATACATATCTTAGGTTCTTTTGATTGTATTCGTTTAGCTAGACATTCAATTTGTTCTCTTATCCTTGGGAAACCCCAAGGCAAAGTTTATTGCCATCTTAGGACCGTTGCTAAACGTCTTAGTCAACGGATGTAACACAAAAAAAAAAAAAAAAAAAAAAAAAAAAAAAAAAAAAAAAAAACA